TATCATTTTTAATTTCCATACTCTCAAATGCAATAAATAATTGACCAAATGCCATATGCTTTACACACCTTGTCACATCTTTCAAAGCCTTTTCTCCAAACTTCATAGCAATCTTATAAGCCTCCTCAATAGGTGCAGCTTTATTCACTAATTGAATAAGCAAATGAAACATCTCTTTTCTGTGCATTGTAGTTTATGTGATCTGATCAGGATGTGAAGTAGAGCTATGAGATGTTCTAGTTATGGCCACTTTTGCATCAATAGTCAATCTTTTCAATATATATTGTGAGGGTATCATCTTTATCCGCCTACAATCAAGTACCATTAGAGCATGCCCACATAAAACCCCAACAAATTCAATTTTTTTGCAACTACAACTTACTAAATCATTTGTTGAGTCAAAAGTAACTTTGTGTTGATGACTCACTCCAAGCATGCTAACTATATACCTTGTTGTTGTTTTAGACACAACTTGATGTTCTTCAATGGTGTAGTTCAATTGTTTCAATACTTCTCTATGAATCATAGAAAAAATTGGTGGGGTATAGACATTAGCGACATAATTCAATATTCCCAATTGTATTGGCAAGGATGGGGTGCTTTGTGTTGCTGCAAATTCAACTTTCACTTCTTCATAGCGCCTATCAGCAACCACTCTTTCAAAGTGCTGAAGGAATCTTAACAAATCATACTTAATATTAAGTTATCTTTTGAGACAACTATTCATGCTCTTACTTTTTTGGTGTTGTGCTCATACCACTAGAAAATGTTTGACGTCCAAATACGAAAGCCCATTTATGCTTTTTGTTGTACAACTTTTTTAACCAATCATTTTCTTTGAGTCTATACTTATTAATCATGCTCTCCCATGCATTTTCAAATTCATCCACATCTTCACAATCATAGACACAATTTCTGAAATCCTTAGAAAATGTTTTGAACTTTTCAAATGCATTACTAAGGTGTTTTGCAGCATTTTGGAACATATGCCAAACACATAACCGATGGTGTGATTCTAGCAACACCAAATTGATTGCTTTTGCCATTGCTGCATCATCATCAGTTAGAATTATTTTTGGCTTTTTTTCCTCCCATTGTTTTGATAAACACCTTAAACAACCACTCAAATGTCTCTGCAGATTCATCATATAATAATGCAACACTAAAAATGATTGTTTGCTTACAATTATTTAAACCGACAAATAATGAAAATGGTTGATTTTCCTTGTTTGTTCTATATGTTGTATCGAAGCATATCACATCACCAAAATGACCATAATCCATTATCATTTGTGCATCTGCCCCAAATAGATTTGTAACTAGCTCAGCTTGGTCCAATTGTATTGCATAGACAAAAAATGGGTCTTCTGATAGTTTATTTTCAAAATATTGTAGAACACCTCTTGCCTCTCCCTTCTCCACTTTAAATCTACAGAAGTGAAACCAATATTTTCATGACCACCAGTTTCAGTGGTCATCAATTCAATTGATGCTTTTGGAGTTATTCCCGAATTATCTGCATTTCTAACTTGAGTAGCTTGTGGCTCAATCATCTTTCTTTGTGATCTCAACATGTGCTTCTTCTTGGGAGTTGCAATTATATGATTATGAGTTTCATTAAGGCAATCGCATAATAGCAACCATCTTTGCGACGACTAATTCTCATATTTTCCATACAACCTCATATTGTCTTTGCTCGATGTTGCTTGACATTGGTCCTACGTTTATCCTCAACACGTTTTCCTTCTCTACAACAACAAAACTTTCTAAACCTCACTTTCCAAGTCTTAGGGCATTGTAGGCTATTAGCTTTCCGCACACTAAATCCCATATGTCCCACATATCTATTATAAAATTCATAAGCTTCTTCTTCTTCTTTAAATACCATGCCAACCTTTGGGATCCACTCTTTGGGAAGGAGGGCTATTTTTTTGAATTTATCCTGAATACTTACATCAAAGTCCTTTTGTTCAAATTTCAGTAAATCATCAACAAAAGCCTTTTATTTATCTAACTCGATAGGCATAGCTAATTCATTTATGACATAAATCATTTACCTCAAGTGCATCATTAGTTATGTCAACATGTTGTTCATCTCCATCTACTTCAAAAACCATCCTTCGCATGGAGTGTGGCCCAATCTCCATTCTCTCTTTGACTACCTTGTTATTAATGAAAATAATAATGACACATTTATACATCTAAAAATATATAAAAAAGATTAACAAAATAATGCGATCTTATAATCAAAGTAACAATTAGGGAAAAAGTGATTTTTGCTCCTACTAAGGGGGTCATTATGGTGAAAGGGTAAAGGAAAAGCTTGAAAAGTTTGGGCTCATTCAAATTTTGGAAGGGGAAGACTCCAAACGTTTGGTAGTAAAAAAAGCTTGAAAAGCAGTGAAAACAGAACATTCCAAAATGTAGAGTTAGAGAGCAGTTCGATGAAATCAATATGAAACCATCAAGTGATATAAAATATAAAATTAAAAAATAGAACATTTTTTTAGAGAGCAAAAAATGTTTTTCATTAAAAGACTCTCCTATAGTAGCTTCAATGAGAGCAATACGATGGTAGTTGTGAATGCTGGAAATAATCAGATTACAAGTTGGGAGTATAAGGTTCAGAGAAGTGATTAGGGTTTTAAATTTTTAAACGGCGAACAGTGTTCAGAGATAAAGAGAGAGAAGTTCAGAGACATAGAGAGAGAATGAGGTTCAGACAAGAATGAAGGAGAAATGAGGAGATGGTGATTAAGATTTCAGAGATGAATAGTATTTGAAGACAAAGACGGGGTTTAGGGATGAAGAAGAGAGAAAACTATTTCTGAAATTTAGTTTGAAATTTTTTTGGGAGCTAATGGGGGGGCTTAACACCCCGCCGTTAGTTCCCCACACATGTCAAAGTGTTTTGCGTGTATGGATAGGTGTTATCTTCTCATGCGGTGGTCAGCTATGTGGTCATACAAGCGTGGTCAGCAGATCTAGACTCATTTGGAACATCTTTTCATGAGTGACAAGGTAGATATTTCCAATGCATAGCTGTAATGTGCCATGGATAAAAATGTCGGAACAACTTGTGTAGCAGATTCGAACCCTGGCAACACAATTGGTTTTGTGTAGCTAAAAAAACATGATTGGTTTTATTTTTACTGCTGTATCAGTTATTTTTGTTTGTAAAACAGAATCATACACGTTGGCCAAACACCCCCTTTAATGTGTTACTATGTTAAATTTCAAGTATTTGTGGCTATTTTTAAAGTTTTCTGGTCTAATGGTTTATTTCCCAACAAATCCGTATGATCTTTGACTCAAACGAGAGATTTTAAACACATGGAATTGAGACTTGTGAAAGGGGAACCCCGGTGAAACCGGAGTTGACACTATTTGGAGAAATCAGAGAATATACTTAGGGGTGGCTATGAGTCGAGCTCTTCACAAGCTACTCGAGCTCGGCTTGTGAAAAGCTCAGCTAGGCTTGGTTTCAATCGAGCTTCGAGCTGAGTTTAAGCCCAATTTAGAGGCTCGATTAGCAAACGAGTTGAGTTCGAGCCTAATAGAGCTCGACTCGTAAGCTCAGGTCGAGCCGAGCTCGAGCCCTGTAATACATTGGCAAGCCAAACTCGAACCTCATACTATTCGGCTTTGCTCGATTCAAATCCACCCCTAAATACACTTGAGAAAAAGGGCAAAGCATTAGATACTTTTATTGAGGGAAGAGTCCCTTAGTTTGAAGATGCATACACGAAAGCTTGTTTTTGGTACCATTGTTGTTTCCATCTAAAACATTTTATATTGATCGATACAAATTGGTGAGAGATATTTATTGTCACATCACGTGCAATAATTACTTTAAGTTAGAATGATTAAACTTCATCCACTAGAGCAACAAACACTGATTTAATGTTTCCAGAAAAAGTCTCTCAAACATGCATTTTTTTAGGTTGCCTATTTCAACCATAAATAGCCTAATTTATATGAATCAACTAAAACGTTCCAGGTGGAAACAACAATATTACCAAACACAACCTGAGTGATGTCATCAAATGCGTCACAACCTCCAATAGGGGACAATTACTAATTTACCCCACTCTCATAATAACGTGGCATCCCCAAAAATGTTCTCAACAGCATAGGCTGTTGGCCCCCAACAGCTAAAGTTTTTCCCAAATGGATAACATTAACAGGGTAGAAAAAGGCGTCATGGTCTGTTTAGCTAGGGAGACCCATTCCGGAGTTAGCCCATAATAGGACGGCCCGCCAATTAAAATATAGAGTAAGCATAAAAACGGGCTTCAATGAGCAAAGCAATATTGTCGTGCAAATAGTAGCCCAGTAGGGGTCCAAATTGGGCCGATTTGATCATTTGTTAAATTTAAATGGGCCTGACCTAATGCTGTGTAAATTCTTCAAATTGGGTAAACGGTATACATCTCTATGTGAAAGAAACCAAAATATTGAATAGACACACACATTAATGGTCTCTCGAGCATCTTACAGTGCTTGTTGGGTAGCTTTAATGCCAAAACATGATCAAGAGGAGGAACCTATACCTGGATGCCGCTGGATCTGGATCTCCTCAAATTGCTGTACCATTTACTGTGTCCTTCTAACTCCATTTTTAATGGATCTGTGTGGTTCTAACTCTATTAGAACATTTGGAAATGCTTGAAAATTGAAAAGCAAAATCAATTAGATGGTTTTACCATATCGAAGGGATATTGAGTTTCACTTGCGCTGGTAGTTCCATCATAAAGCCACTTCTGTCAATGAGATGGGCAAGATGGTCTAAGACTACAATGATTTGGTGGGCTTCATACGAGTGGATTGGTATAGGGCTTAAAAAGCTAACCGAACAACCCTCAAGATTAAAACCATATGATTAACTTGAGTAGCATTCAAGATTTTTTTTTTTTTACCCAGATGATTAATCTGGCAAATTGTGCAGCCCGTATTGTGGTAATATGTATGGGGTATGGTAAAATTCAAATCAGTCCCACTGTAACTAAGGCATATGTTTATAAGGAACTGAATATGTTCAGTTCATTCTTTCAAATAATTGAAAGTCTTTATTTACAAACTAACAAGATACATAACCAAAGATGTTAATATGACTTAACATATGCATCAGATTTGTGAGTCAAATTTATGGGTTTTACTTTTACATGCGATGATGATCAATTCTTTCAGAGCTCATCCTTGAGAGAGGATGTCTTAGCAGGATTTGGAGAGTATTTGATGGGATATGATGCTTCCATGGCTATACCACAGATTCCCTCTTTGGCAGAGACACCTCGTTGCATTCTTATATAGCCTTTCTCTCCCCATTCAGGTCCCCATGAGTTCTTCACTATCCAATATTTAGTCCCATCAACAGTCGTTCCATAGCCCACAATTGCCACTCCATGGTCAAGTTCCGTGCCACAGGATCCGGTGAATACCCCCTGAGATCAAATTGACCCAGTTAGACAAATATATATTTGCTTCATTCATGAGGATTTGGACCCTTGAGTTAGGCAGATCATAGTACCTCTGAGTAGAATTGGAAGTCGAGACCACCAGCCTCTATGGCGACAGATACAGGTTGGTTTGCCACAGCCTTCATCAATGCATCCTCGTCGTTAGCAGGGACGTTCTCATGCCCATCAATTGTCACCATAGGAGAATTTTTCTGCAAAAACCAGCAAATTTGTTCTCCATAAGGACTTTAACTTTTTGGGAAGGATGTAGACAGGAAACCTGTAGGGATAAATGTGTCACCTTTGATGCTTCACAACTCCCATCTTCAGCTCTGTAAGGATAAATCTCCTCTGAGGTTAGCCCTCCAGTGTTCTTGATGAATTCAAATGCATAGTCCATTAGTCCCCCATTACAACCTTGGTTTTCGGTTTTGTCACAGTCGACCAGCTCCTGTTCGGACAGAGTGACAAGCTCATTCGTTCTGATTTTGTTTATACCTTCAACTGCAACCACAGTTGAAAATGCCCAACAACTACCTGTAAAACCAACGAGAAATGGTATATAATTGCTGGCTAGACGTTTGATAGGATAGAAATTCATGGAGCATGACTACTTGTGGATAATAAGAACAGAGGAGAACTGTCTCGTCTAAGTCTAACCAAGCTTACACTATAGAGAAATGGACTAAGAACAAATAGTTTAATGATGAATCGAATAAATCTTATTGTTTACTAATAAGAATCATACCGCATTGGCCTTGGTTTTTCACAGGAGTGACTGCTCCTTTCTCCCTCCAGTCGACAGATGGGGGGAGATTGTCCTCCTTCTCATACATGAACCCCCCAGTTCCGCGTCGGCTTCCTCGGAGCATCTTGTGGTGATTTACTCTGGAGGAAGCGTAGAAGCTCCTGAACTCATGGTTTGTCATGTCGGCAAACTTGTTAAGTTTTAGCTTGTAGGGGGCATCCTTCTTGTTGAAGTTGTGAATGTAGTTGACGTTCTCTTTGAACACATTAAAACGTTTGTGCTTCTCCGACAGGTCTCGGGAAACAGTGTGGTGGCTCCTCCACCTCTCATACAGCTTCCAGAGGCTTTCTTCCGAAGCCAGGTCCTTTTCGTGAAACTCCAAGCTCTCGGCCAGGCTAAGAACCAGAACCAATGTCGTCAAAGCAACTAAAGCAATCCTTCCAATCGCCATTGCTTTGGTGAATTTGATAACATCCACAGCCACAGAAGATGGGGATTTGAGTCTATGGGAAACTGGGTTATATAGGAGAGTAACAATGCTAATATAGGACAGAGTAGTACCATAAATAATGATAAATGAGCAAAGTAGGTTTCTTCTGGGCAACAAAAATTAATAATAGAGAAAATAACAATAATGGTTTCTGAGGAAGGTTGCTTGAAATTGAATTGATCAAGCTTTGCAAGCAAGTATGTTTGTAGGGGGCGGGCCGGAAGGGGGTGTTGGCTGCTTATAGGTCTAGTTAATAGTGGATCACTTAATCTGTAATTGGAGGTTTCTTAGTTCCAATAGCTCATACCAAACAATAAAAAAAAAAAAAGGTTTATTTGCTTACAAGAAAAAAAAGATTCTTTTAGCGAGTATCTATCTTATCTTACCATTTTTGAGGTACGTTTGGCCCACTTTTGGTGTCATCATATAAAAAATAAATCCACCTCCGCAATTCCGCATGCCAAAACCTCTAGGCCCAGATGAATGAATGAGGTAGACAGCGGAGGTTAGTTCAGTTCCAGACTACCAGTAGTCCTCCCTCCAGATTCCCCAAAATCCCCAAACCATGATGAAGGCAGGCGGGTTTTCGTCCCAGAACTCCGGTGCAATCAGCAAAGAAACTTTAACGGCAAGCCAACTGGCAACTTGAGCAGACACGCTACCTTGTTTAGCTTCTTTGTGGAGGAAACAAGTTCGCTACGTAGTTGGTGATGCAGATGTTGACCCACTGATTTCTTGCAAATGGGGGAAAAAGAGCTCCCTATTGATTTTTTTTTTTTTACTATGAAAAAACTAAACTTAAAAGAAGATACTCAATCAGCTTTACTGTTAACTAACGGTGTCAATGGACTGGTTTTGGATTGGATTTGTCCGGTTTAAAATCAATTTGGACGGATTGAACGGACCAATAAGACATATTGGATTAGACCAATTCGGTCCAAATTATTTATTAGATTGGATTAGACCTGGTGTGTCTATAATAAATTTATATTGGATTGGATTAAATTAAGCTAATATCTGATTCATTGATATAAGATAAAGATAAGAATATAGGTATCAATGAATTGAATTTGGGTTGAAACCAATATAGATCAGAAGGAATTTAAACAGATTAGATGATGATGTAGACATTGATTTGGACTGGTCCAAATCGATCTAAAATATTCATTAAATTGGATTAAACGTGGTCCATTTGTAATGGATTCATATTGGACGGAATTAAATTGGACCAAATCCAGTCGAAATGTTAACCTCGGAGGTTATGAGGTGAAAAAAGTTTTGGATTTTGGAGTGGCGTGAGGATGTCTCCATCTAAATTGTAAAGAGGTAATGAGCAATAGCGGAATGCCCTCTGTCAGCTGCCATGTGTATAACACAAGATGTAGTGAATGGGTCTCATTGAATAGAATGTTTATACTTTATACCAAATTTATTGGACCGACCAAGAAGACCAATATAACAATCTTCTTCTCTTTTATTAGAGTGGTGGTTATAAATTGACCCCATTTCCATTTGTGAAGGTAATGTCTAGTCAGAAAGGCAAGGAACATCTTTACACTATGCGTCTGCGTTATTACTGACCCTCAGTCAAGACATTGTCCCTCCCCTCAAGAAAGCCTCTCTTATTCGCTCTTACTCAAAAAATTAATTCCATCCTCATCAAATTGGTTTTACCTGTTCTATTTTTCTTATCCAATATGGTGAACACCAACCGTTGATCTGGAACATCTCACAACAGATTATAAGTCGTGTAAAACCGCATAGGTCCCACCCCGTATTCTACTTCTGGATCAAGCGTGTCGGTTAATATATCCAAAACTAAATAATAATAAAAGGAAAGAAAATAAAAAAACGGCTACAGGACAAACAGAAGGAAAATTCTGGTAACCTTTTTAACTTTGCCAATTCGCCACGCGTGGAGTGGTGGATTTAGAGGAAGATGACACACCATCGAATCGTGTACCCAACTAACTTAACCAAAAACGAGAAGGATATTATAAATAATTAACAAAATGAGAGCATAAATAAAAGAAATAAAATGAACTTAATAACTTCTGGGAGACATCTGACTCTTTAGTCTCAGACTCTCAATGAACCGTAACAGGCTGCAGGCAACGTTCACACCAAAATCCACACTCTAAGACCGCTTTCATTACTCAACTTAGGGGTTAGGGCTTTCTCACTCACATTACACAAAACTAGCGGGACCCGTGCGATACATGGAAAAACGAAATGAGAAGTTTTACTAATTTTTTGAATTTAATGGTTATTTTTACAAAATTATACTAATTTCATCTATTGTATCATATTTTATGAAAATGAGTGGTTATTTTTCCCTAAGTTCTACTAATTTCTATCATACAAAATTTATGATAATTCTTGGAAAATATAATATTTTATAGAAATTAGTGATTATTTTTGGCTAAGTTCTACTAATTTCTGGTACTTTCTATTATACTAATTTATGATAATTATTGGTCAATATATATACTTATTTTTTATACTTATTATATGATAATTTATCAGTCAATTAGTGAAAATTAGTTCTATTATATAATTTCTACTAGTTTCTGATAATTTCTATTATATACTAATTTCTTTGTAAATATATAATATGTATTATATTTATTATATGATAGTTTATTGGTCAATTATAGTAATTTATTGATTTTATGGAATTTAGTGGTTATTTTTGGACATTTCTACTAATTTATGATAATTTTTGGCAAATTAATTTAATGTATTTAGGATTATACTATTTGATAATTTCAAGTAATTATCATCCTAAAGTCTACTAACTTGTGATAATTTCTTTTGATTTATTTTTAATAATTTTTTTATAAATATTGGTAATTTATGTCTAATAATGGTAATTTATTTTAATTTATATTTGATAATTTTTATAATTATCAACTATATGGGTTTGATCATGTGAATCCTGTTTTGTCATTATCCAATATCATGTCTATTATTAAATTCAATCGATCCATTTTTATTTCTATTGTTTGTTTGGTTGAATGGAATTGGAATTCCATTCTCATTTCTGGTGGAATGGGTCTCCCATATAAAAGAATGGCCATTCCTTCTCCCTTCCCTAAGAATGATAATCCATTCCAGTCAATTCTAATTTCAATTCGGGTTTTAATTCTTATTCGGGTTTTAATTCCAATTTCGACTATAAACCAAACTGACCCTAATATACTAACATATATGCTTATCCATTTGGAGGTATAATGCTTGTCTTAATTCAGGATCCATGATCATAAGAACATGATAAAAAGACTTTAAATGCTAGCTGCAAATGTGACACAACCCTTGGAATGTGTAGTATAAGACAAGCTCACATGAGTGAAGTTTCAATCCAGATAGACACAGGGTTTTATAATTCTTGGGGGAATGTTGGGTACAGATTATGGCTTTGGAAACGGGACCAGATGAGTGATGAAACCTCTTTGACCACTGATTATTGGATCAAACAGTCCAACCGTCCAGTCGAAAGCGCGGTGAGACAGTTTTTAAATCCAAAACTGGATAAAGAGTCGTAACCATTCCCAGATCAACCAGTTCGACCGTCCGGTCTGATAATGGTACAGAATAACGACAAAAGCTACGTGTAACTTTCCTTTTCTACAACCAGAAGAAGGTCCTGCTGTATTTTAGCTAGATACATGGAGCTTACGTTGTAGTTCAAAGTTCAAACAAAGGCAAGAGGCGTTGATGACCAGATCATCTTCCATGCGCAGCCTACAGCTGACATCGGGTCCCACGAAGTTAAGACTTAAAGACTGTTGGAGGCTGAGCTCAACGTATGAGAATTGAGAAGAGAAACCATTCATTTCAATGTTCATTTGGGTGAGACTAGTACCTGGAAATCACTGCTCATTTGGATCATACCACATGTCCTCACTTGAGGTAAGGTTGATGCGAATAGTCACTCTACTCTTTACTCTCATGTCTCATCGCATCGCATGGCATGGCAAGCCGATCGATACGGACGATAAGACAATCGCCGGAACATAAAGAAATAGCCAGAGAAAAATCATCGAGCAGCGCATCTGCCCCTGATTTTAACACCACCACGTTCTTTCCCGGAAAATGAGACTGTCATTATCAATCGTCTCTTTTCAAATGCAGCTCCTCCCTCCTCTCAACTCCAAAAGACCAAAACTCTCTCTCTCTCTGTCTACATTGGAAGTATCCTCTCTCACTTGGTAGCGATAAAAAAAAAAGGGACAAGTATTCTCACTCACTCACTGTTAGCAGCAGTTAGCTGCTCTGCTCTGTTTGCGAATGGCTCCGAATTCCGAGATAAAAACAATAAGAAGACGGGGAATCATCACTGACACTGAGGAGTGAGGACAAAGAGCCTAATGAGAAGGGAGATGATTGATGTTGTAGATTTGGTGTTTATCTACCCGTAGCGGTGGGGCCGTTCGTAATGAACATCAAATTTTATGTGGTGCATCAGAAAATAAAAAAAAAAAAAAAGACATCATTTTCTGATTTATCTCAGGTACGTAATTAGGAAGTGTAATTTACCTGAAGCAACTGTGGTAGCATTTGCCACAAAGCATCCAATACCTTCAAGCTAAGCTCTTTTCACTGTGAGCATTGTCTTAAAGCTCTTTGCATTCAATACCTCAAGCTAAAGATCTCTTTATGGTGACTTATTCCCCTGATCCCTTTTCTATTGCATCTTCTATTAGGTACTAATAAGAGACTGTTCGACGTTTTAATGAACAGAGTTGGATCATGTCAAGCCATCTTTATGAATCAACCAAAACCCAAAACTTGCATCTTTAACCGATCCATCTGATATAAGCCTAATTCAGGTAAAAGTGTGAATATGGTTGTACGTGGAAATACTGCCAAACTGTAATAAACTTACCATTATATCAACATTACTCTTATTCTACCCCGCCTCACATTTTTTTTTTTCTCTTTAACCTCAATAGGAAAATTCCAAGTATCTTCCTCGCATCAAGCTCAGAAAGCATGACGCCACTGATCTAGACCTTGAACTTGTAGGTTGGTTCTTGCAAGATTTTGTTTTTCCTTCCGAATGGGTGGACTACATAACGACACCACAGAAGCCACATAATTTGACGTTTAGGACCGTAGCAGTTTAGAAGATAACTAAGGAGACTGAGATTATCTCTCATCAAGGGAATTGATGCGACGCAATCCGGCTGCTCCTAACTGGAGATGATTTGGTTTCCAGTAGACGACGGAATTGGCTAATCTATAAAAAGGGGAATCAAAGAATCTGGGGGTGTTTACCCGGCGAGGTCGTTCCGATGCTTAAGTCAGTAATTTGCGAACTGATGGTAGCTTAGACAGCAAGAGAGCTAATGAGCAGAGATTACGTGTACCTTTGCCCCCGGAGGGTTGGGGTCTTTATATACTGGAGTCCTCGCGGGTTTTTCGGAGTGGTTCCGGGATCCTTGCTATGGTGAGGCCCGTTTCCGTACTAACAGGAGATAACGCTGCTAGCCGATAAGGCTTATCACTGCCTCCCGAATCGGTCGGGGGAGATAAGGCTAGTGGTTACGAGACGTGATCCTATAATGCGTGGAATTTGGTGGCGAGATCTTCGGGGTTGTCATGCAGAGGTCAGTCAATATTACCCGAGCTAGTGCCCTTTGGATCCGACCTGGTTCGAATGCCGAAATGCCTTGAAACCGAGGTGGTCCTGATGCGATCATATCCCGAGGTGAACTTATCCCAAGGTGGACTTGCCCCGAGATGATTCGATTATCCGAGCTCAGTCAATTTGCAGACTTGATGTGTCGGAAGTGAGCTGTTATCCTGTCGGTTTGGTCGTGTCTACGCATCCCTCCATTATTAGGTCAGGCCAAATTACCCTACATCAAGAATGGAAGTCAACATGGAAGGCCCATGCATGATTGTCTACTCTCATCATGTTATGCTATGTATGCATTGATGCCATGGTCCAAACTCCCAATTTCCTAGTCCCTACTAACAAAAGATCCAATTGGGACCACAGATTGTCATGGAGAAGCAACAGTTGCATCCAAGGTAGAAAAAAGATGTTGAATAGAGATGGGTTCAGGTATTCAGTACTCCCAACAACCTGGTGTCAGCAGTGAGGAAAATACATCTCTTTCTGTTTTTGTAGCCAATAGAATTCTAATGACTTCGCAAGGTACAAATCTCATCAAAATTAGTTTGAGATAATAGTGCTAATTATTTTTGCGGAATCTCTGATGCTTGCAACCTCCAGCTCTTTTGATGAATTCAGAGATGCTACAGGGACAAAAATCTAATTAAATGCATGCAAACGAGTATTGTCAAATGTTCAGATGATTACACTAGTAAAACCACAAAAAAAAAAGAAAAAGAAAAAGAAAAAACCAAGAATTGCATAATAAAGACAGTAATATACCCGATTTCCATTACTCTTCGGTCCTCACATTCTCAGTAAACATTAAAGATATATTTTATTGCATAATAGACATAATAATATCAATTGTCAAACCATATTGAATGAACTACTGAATGGTTAGATGATTTCCAAAAGGTTTCGACACAATCAATTAGGCATTTAGCAGATTGGGTGTCTTCTACTACTAGGAGAGAAATAAAAAAGACAATCATTCCTGGGAAATTTGTTATATTCAATTAATGCAAGATTTAAAGTATCGGAACAGAAAGGCAAATTTAAGATATCCATCGGGGTATATCTTGGATATGCATGGATACAGATGAAAAATTAAGATACGCATGRAAACACATGGAAATGCTATAAATACTCTAATAAATCATAAATAAATATCAATATCACTAAATATAAGACATAAATGAACTATTTATGCATAAAAATAGCATGTTTTAATGGGTTTACGAAAAAAACATATTATAATCAATAAACGGAAAGTCGGGAACAGAAACATACTATCTAATTATGGACATAATAGATCAAGTAATTATTTTTCATGTTTTATTCTAATTTTCTAAAAACTAAATAATTATTTTGCATGTTTTATTCTAAAAATTAAATTAAAATTAAGAAAAGTAAATATGTAACAAAAAATKRAATGGATTTATGGACATAATAGATGAAATAATTATTTTGCATATTTTGTTCTAAAAGTAAACTAAAATTAAAAAATAAATAAATATCAATGATTCAATGTTTTAAAATACAGAAGTGTTCCACTACCTAGAAGCGTGAAGCATAGTTCAGAATGCAAGGGGCGTAAGCTTCCTTAAGAAGAGGAAGGAGGAAGGGGGGATTTCATTTTTTTTTCTTAATCTTTTATATTAAAAAAAATAAAAATGCATAACGTTTGTTAAAAGGGGGGTCTTGCTTCGACAAGACCCCCCTAACTCTAAAAAATAAAATTGGGCTACATCGAAAATGGGGACAAGGGGATTTGGGCGGCGAAGCCCCCCAGCCGAAGGGGTAGGGGTAAACCACTTTCTTTCCCCTTATCTTTTTTAACATTGGTTGAAAATATAAAAAAAAAATTGAAAAAAGATATTTGTTTTCATTCCTTTTTACACAACCTTGAAAAACTTATTAAATCTTGACATCTTGTAAATTTATAAATGTTTTTGGCAAATTTTTACAAGATTTGAGTCTTTAGAAAGATTAAAAGGCTTTTTGGAGGGTTTGGGAAAGAAATAGGGCTTTTGAAATGGGTTTAGAAACCCTCTTTCGAAATCATTTCTATTTGTGTTTTAACAACAGTAAAATCATTGTGTATCGGCCAATACACAATCGAAACTCACCGATACGGTGTCAATACGCCTTCGGCACGATGAAAAGGAATGGTACGATTGATTTCAAACCGTTCCCCATGCCGGAAGCCTTAAGATACGGTACGTAACAACCGATACGGGATGAAAAGGGATCATCAAAGGCATGACAAGCACTCAAGTCCAAGAATGTTTCTAGGAATCAAAAGGGATCATCAAAGCCTTAAGATACTTTTGAGTGTCACCTTCTACAGATGAGCGCGAAAAATTATTTCTCATCCAGGGAGGTGGGATATCATGAAGCTCATAATATTCATCATTTATACAAGCTTCATAAGCCACTCTTGGTTGCAAGTAGTAACATCTTTATCCTCATCTTTTCATCATTGCTGTTTTTCTGTGAAGGGTGTTCCAGAGCAGGAGAGGTTTATGAGTTTTAACTCACCGATGATGGCATAAGTTATTCTCACCTTTTTTTTTAATTATTACAGTGCATGAGATTTGCGTTAGGACCTTAGGGGTGTCAGCGAACCGAGTTATTCATTAGCTACTTGATCTAAGCTGGCTAAATACTCAAACTTGATTTGAAGATAATCAAGTTTGAGTCAAGCTTTACTCAAGTCGAGTAATTAGTCAACTCCAGTTTGAGCTTTTCAATATTTGGCTGTGTTATGAGCCTAATCGAGCTTATAATAACATATTAAATTTTCGATATATTTATTTATAATATAAATAAATAAATTTATAATCGCATTTTATAATATATTTTTAATAATAATTTATTTATAATCTTCTCGAGGCCTTGAGTTGGCCAAGCTCAAGTATATTGCAAGTATTGGCTTGAGTCGAGTTCATGGGAAACTTGAAACTTGGTCAAGCTCGAGTCGACTTTCAAGCTCCAAGCTTTTAGAGTCTAGTCAGTTTGATTTGGCTTGATTACAACCCTAATCTGCAATCAACCATTGCTGAAAAAATTAGCAGAACGGTAAATTCTCTTGATGGGAGACTCTGCTCAATACCCTCCTTCAAGGAGATAACGTTAGAATATCCTGAAGACAGGGAGATTATAAAGTTCCATGGACTTCCAGTCTTCTATCAAGGATTAAAACTTGAGCCACATACAGGTTTTCAACTATTACCATGATCATGGTTCTGCATACTTATTGTGATCACGGATGACGGATCTTTATTTTCCAGTAAAAGATTGAAGTGGAGGCATCAAGACTCTCTACCTGGCAATGGCAGAATATCTGACTTGTGACTGACATGAAAAGAATTTGAATAGTGGCAGTGGTGCAAAATAGAAAAGTGATGGAATTAGTATAGTATTTATGAAAAGGCTGAGCAATTTGTGTAGCATCTAGCATTTCAACCCTTGGAAGATGAACCATTTAAAGCGCCAACGCCACTATAAAGTACAGATCTCAACAACAGATGAGCGTCAATCAAACAGTAAATAGAAAAAAGCAAATAATTTTCCATTTTCAACCAAAGGATTCAGTCCAGAATGTTACTGTATTTTATGAAGATTTAGTTCGCAAAAGATTAGAACAATTCTAGGACAGAAAATTACAAAATAGGAAGCATTCGTAGCTGCCACCAACAAAACGAGAAGACTATGCAAGAGAATCCTTTTGCCTGGCTTGTTGATGCAGTAGTTCTTCTCTAACCCTCTTAATTTCCATTTCCCTTTCCAATCTTTCTTTCTGCAATCATAAGAAGGCGAAAGATTTATCAATAAAGGAACAAAAGCTTACACCTGAAGTTGAAATTTCAATAACAACAATAAGCTGTAGTTTGATAAAATACTGGACTAGCTCAAATAGATCATATGTCCAAACTTTCAAGTCTGAGCCAAAGCTCCAGCTAACCTTTGTTATCAACTATTGGTAAAGACATGCACCTAACATTGTCTCTAGCAATTTAAAGCTAAATGAGTAATTGAGATGAGTGGGCTAACAATGCAACATCTAATCCCCATGAAGTATGTGTCTGTATGTGCCTGTGCTTGTATAAATTTCAAGTTTAACCATTTAATGCATTGGTTTTTATGAACCAAAGTTCTGTCTGTATGTTCATAGTTGTCGAGGCGCCCGTTGTAGGCTTGCCTCCCCTAATAGCCAAACAGTTTTTTACATTGTATTATAAAATACTTTTATATTTTTAACTTTTTGAGATTATAATTACAAAATGACATTATTAAACTAAAATATTCATTTTGTATGTTTATATACTAATTTCTTTTTATTATTTTCTTATTTCTTAGGTTTAGTCAACATAGACATTACTAAATGCTCTATTGAACCCTCAAAGACTTCAAAACCTCAACCAATAAGTAAGGAAAAACTTAAAACTTTGTCTGATCAACAGTACATTATTTCCATGCTTAAGGCATAGGCCAAAAAACAAATTTTCTACTGACCATTGAAGTTTAACAACCTTCTGAAACTTGGCCCTTCCTTTCCAAACTGATAAACACTTTAAACACTTTAGGTATTAACGCTTCAGCAGAACTTCACCATCTTTAAATGATTTCCCTACTATTTTCCATTTAGATAAAACCAAATTCCATGATTTTCCCAAATGAATACTTTTACCCATCCAAAGAAATAACAATTTTGTATCACTTAAAGAAAATAACATCATTCTAACATCTTTACTAATCCGGGATTCTGAATACTATTGCTTGAAAAGAATGTTTTTCATTTTGATTTCAGACAACATTTTGACCTGATCTAGAAAATTCAACTGAAATCTGCTGATACTTAAAGTTCTTAGAACAAAATAGGGAAAAAAATGAAATCTTTAATTAATTTCCTTTTCCCAGTTATTTTTTGATAAATTTATTTTTTCCCCTATTATTTATTCTCTATTTCTTATGAATCCCTCCTATTTTCTTCCCCTCTATTTTTCGCATTCTGAACCTAAATCTGTAATGCTTTCTTTTTAGTAGTTATATAAAGATCTAGCTCCAGTCTCCTTTGGAGCAAATTGTCAGAATTTTCAGAATTACGACGACATTAAAAAAGTCAGATTTCCAACAGATTATGATGGTTTTGTTGTAACCAATCATATTGATAACTGATGGAGATAGAAGACCATCAATTGAGGTGCAAATGTAATCATTTCACTTGGTGTCGAAAAATGGAACCAAAGAAACCCATAACTTAAGGATTTTATCCAATCCGTGTAAGCCGGTCCATTAGTTTGGTTATATCAAAATTGATAAAAATTGTAAGAGGAGAGAAACCCTAAGAATGTGGAGTAAGTAACGAAATCAAGTTTACACAATGTTCGAATTAGGATCGACAATGCACCTACACTTAAAAAATTGTCCTCCGTTAGATTTCAGTTCAGAATTTCAGATCGCCACATATGGTGAAAAGATTCAAATTCTTCGAAACAGAAAAATAAACGGAACCTAGGTTTAACTGGAGTCAGTGCCAAGTTGTAATTTGTAGAACCCATAAGATGGACTACGTCGGTAAGCTGATGGATTGAAATGACAGAGCATGAATAATGTCATGATTCCAAATAGGAAATGAAATCAATTAAAAACATCCTTATTGGTAAGAAATGGAGAGAAAAAGAGAGAGAACCTTCTCGTCCTGATGGAGAGCAATCCAGACATGAACTTTCTCCATTGATTGCCAGAAGATGAAGGCCCCCAGTGTCATCGCGAAGTATGTGGCTACCCTCACCATCTTCTCCTTTTCCTCCCTTACTTTTCTTCCTCTTCGACTCCTCAACGCAGCGGACAGCGGGTTGCGAGGAGGGCTCTAAGCCTCCAAGTCCTTTTCATCCGTGCCAAACTGCCAAAGTGGTTACACAATAGGGGTGCAAGTGCAACTTGGGCGGGCTGGGTCGAGTTGAACATCAACCCGGGCCCAGCTCCAAACGTGCAAACATGAGTTCATGCCCAAATTTATAAACCCAGGCCCAAGACCTTAATCTAATATAATTAATGTGGGGTTGGTTGGGTTTGAAAAAATTTATGTATAGCAATTTTTTATTGGGATTTGGGCTTTATATCTCAATTTAAAAATATGGTTGATTAAAAATATGTACAAATCTCATAATCTCATATTTGAATGTATAAATACATATTTTATATTATGCACGAGATTTGTTAAAATAATAGAAACTATATTTTTATTTTTTAAAATAATTAACAATTATTTATATTTATATACTATTATTAATAATTTTTTTACAATGCAAAAATAACAATAATTAATTTCAGTTAGGGTTGTTTATCAAATTAATGAAACCAATAAATCCAACCAACTCAACCCAAGTTGGTCAGTTTTCTAGTATTTTTGGTTCAACAATTTCCTAATTCGATCATGTTGGATAATCAATCAAAATCGAATGGCCTGGCCATAGATATATATTAATATTTTATATTTTTAATATAATTTTTTGAATACAAGGAAGTGGAAATATTCCTATATTTCTTAGTCAAAAATATTTTATATCATAAATTTATTTTTTAATAATGCCACTATAATTTTTTAATTTAACTTTAATTTTTTAAGTTCGAATCTTTTGAACAGACTGACCAAACCAAAAATTGACTCAAATCGGTACAAACCGAGTTAGCCAGTTTTCACTAATGGTCAGTTTGGTCAGTTAGGGTTGTTTATCAAATTGATGAAACCAACAAATCCAACCAACTCAACCCAAGTTGGTCAGTTTTCTAGTAGTTTTGGTTCAACAATTTCCTAATTCGATCATGTTGGATAATCAATCAAAATCGAATGGCCTGGCTATAGATATATATTAATATTTTATATTTTTAATATAATTTCTTGAATACAAGGAAGTGGAAATATTCCTATATTTCTTAGTCTAAAATATTTTATATCATAAATTTATTTTTTAATAATGCCACTTCAATTTTTTAATTTAACTTTAATTTTTTAAGTTTGAATCTTTTGAACAGACTGACCAAACCAAAAATTGACCCAAATCGGTACAAACCGAGTTAGCCAGTTTTCACTAATAGTCAGTCAGTTTCGGGTGACCAATTCCCCAACCTAACCAATTCAATTTGGTTGGCCAAATAGCCTATAATCGAACCGAACCAACCCATGAGCACTCCTAATTTCAGCTAAATTAATAATCTAATCTCTAATAAATAACAATAGTTTAATCTCTAATAATTATTGAAATTTATAGAAAAAAATACACAATTATTGAAAATATATTGATAATAAAATACAATAAATAACTAATAAAATACAATAACTACAAAAATAAAATAAATACTAAAAAATATATTAAATTATTTAATAAATAGTTAATCTTTAATAAATATTAATCAATAAATTATAACAAAAATACAATAAATTAAATTAAAAAAGTTAAATAACAGTAGTTTAATATCCAATAATTATTGAAATTTTCTATTAAATAACAAAAAAAATAAATTTATTCATAATTATTGAAAATATATTTATCACAAAAAACAATAAATAATTATAGAGAACACAATAAATATTAATTTTAGTATAGATAAATATGTAATAAACATATATATGATTTTAAAATTATTATTAATAAATATTATTTTTTATTTTCTATTATTATTAATTGATATAAGTGAAATTAATTATTTACAATATTATTTGGTTGTTTAAATAATGTCATTATTTAAATTTTAAAATATTAATTATTTATTGAACTTAATAATCTATAAAATTATAATTTATACTATTATTACTTAATTTCGTTATTAATTTTATAAAATATTAAATTATTATTAATTTAAATATTGTGTTATAATTATTTTTCTACTTTTAAGAAATTTCTAAATTTATTACATAATTTTGTTATTTTAACTATTTAAAATCTAGTTATGTTAAATATTTCGTTATTTAAAATGTTTAGTTATTTAAATAATATATAAAATATTATTTAAGTAACATATAAACTATTTAAATAACTATTTAAGATATTTAGTTATTTAATTGTTTAAATATTATTTTTATTTTTTAAGGTTTATTTTTTATTGTTTGAATATCATTTAAATTGAATAATCTGGAACATCATAGTTTATATTGTTAGTATATAATTTTGTGATGAATTTTGTAAAAATATAAAATTATTAATAATTAAAATATTATTAAATCTATTATAACGATTTCTTTGTATTTTAATAAATATTTTAAAGCTATTATGGCTCCATTTGGAAGGAGTACAAATACAAACATGTAGAGCGTAAAACCTTATATTTTGTATAGATTTGTACTGTACATATTTGTATTTGTACTCTTTCCAAACTGAGCCTATATAATTTTGTTAGGGGTAAAAGACTTAAACCTCCCTTAAAATTTCTTGTAAATATTGAAACCTCCCTTCTTATTTTAAAATGGACTAAGACCTCCCTTATTGGACAAAATCCTCCCCTCTGTTAGCAATCCATAAGATCCATTTGCAAATAGAATATGGGTGGGTGAAATTTTTCTAAAAACACAATTTTACCCCTTTATGGTATTAATTCTGTCATTTCTCTCTCATGTATTTCTCGAGGTTTCTCTCTCACGAATCCCTCGAGATCCTTTTGTTGCACTTTGTATCATGTCTAACCATGTAGATCATCATTAGTTGATTTGTTAAAGAGACACATCAATGGTTTTTTTTTTCTTCTCTAAGCTGAAAAAAGACTTTTTGCCATCCATAATTATGCGAGTTTACTATATATGTATATATATATTATATAGACGGTCCATGCCACTTTCCTTCTCCTTGCTCCATTACCCCAACCCTACAGTCTCCTTGACTCTCTCTCTCCTCTCCCCCTTCACACCACTCTCAATTTGCCATTTCAGCACCCTCTCCCTTCATTCCTCTCCCTTTCCACTTGGTTATCTCTCTTCTACCACAGGCCACAACTCAAGTCTCTCACTTTCTATAACAACCTAACTTCTCTCCTTTATTAGTTCAATATTTGTTTTATCTCTCTTTCACTTCTATCTCTATTTCCCCTCTAAACTTGATTTCAAGCAAATTAAAGAGAAGGGTGTAAGGGGAATTCAATGTTTCCTATATATTCATGGCATCTTCCATTATTGTTAAATAATCTATTCTTAAATAATAATCTATTGTTAAATAATCCATTAGTTATTAAAATGATAAAAAATTTTTGGAAAATATTCTACCAAAAAGTAATTATTTAACAAGTATTAAATAATTTAATAATCTACCAAAAATTAATAAACAATCCATTATTTAATAATTTTTGGTTATTAATAAATGTTAAAAATTTCAATGTTTAGCATAATTTACTAATTTCTATAAAATCAATAATTATAGTTAACAATTATCAAATAATTTAGGGAAACCCTTTAACTAATAATCCATAATTATTTTTTTAAATAATTAAAAACATTAAGAAATTAATCTATGAAAAAATATTCTCCAAAACTATTTAAACAATAATCCATTATTATTATTATTGTTATTATTATTCAACTAAATAATTATTAAAAAAGTAGGTAAATTAAATTAGGAAATTAATCTATTAGAAATTGTTTCATAATTATTTAAATAACAATCCACTATTATTATTTCAATAAATAATTATTAAATAATTTAGGAAAATTATTAAGTTTATTCACACTGATCTAGACCACTTGGTTGACTTCGATCATACTTGGTTTTACATTAATTAATAACAAATTGTTTAATTTTAATTAAAATTTGTCATAATTTCACTAATTTACTATAATTACATTTAATTTGATTAATAGTAAATAATTTACATTAATTTATTGCTATTATAAATAATTAATTTAATATACATTACTACTAATCAATAGAAATTTCAATAATGTTTTGGAAATTATCATAAAGATATTGTAATTTTTTGTTATTTAATTTAATGTTAGTCAATTAGTTATAGAAAATTATTAAAATTGTAGGAACAACACTTTTTCCTATAAAACTGGGGCCCTACCCTGCCCCTGCCCTGAACGAGGCAAATTTTCTCAAATCTTAAACTAGGACAGGTGGGGACAAAGAAAATATTTTTTCCCCAAATTAGGGATGGGGTTTGCATGTAATTCCTCGAACCCAATGGTAAATTAGTAAAATATCTGCATATTTAATATTAATTTTTAAAATTTCTCTAAGTTTTCCTCATATTCTTATAATCTTAGGATCACATAATTTTATCTATAAAATACCCCCAAAATGTCATAATCCAATTCATAAAATACCCCCAAATTCCCATAGTCCTATTTGTAAAATATCCATAAATTATATTTTTTAGATGGTTGCCTCAAGGTGAAGAAAATTTGGGAATTCCCCATCCCCGACAGCCGACAGGCAATGGGTGACTTACCCCGAACCCGCCCCACCACTGGGGTCAGGCGGAGATAAGAGTAGAGTGCCTTAACTTWGGGGGGCAAGGGACAAAGAGGGGTGCCCATCCTGTGCATCGCACAGCCCCCGCTAGAGTAAATGGATTGATGCCTGGACAGATAAATAGACTTAACAAAAATCAACATCGTAATATCTATGGGTGTGAATCTTTACATAGTCTACACAGAATCAGACCGTGTATATTTAACAAAAAATGGGGTATCCTCTTTTTTCACGATTAACTATGTATATTGATTTTTTTTTCTCAAAAATTAACTACATTACCTGTAGGACGTTTTGGTGAACATCATCGGGTCCTGCCTCCTTTGGATCTAATTTATGATCTTCATCATATTAATATTGTCATCTGAAATTGGCCCATAACATTTTCTTTAAAGTAAAAGTGAGACAGTAGGTCAGCAGGTGGAGTTAAGAAAGAAATGCATGAAAATTTTATGATTTCTCTGTCAGTTGAAGGAGAGAGGAACGACTAATTATAACAATTGACAAACACATTTTGGAAATTGGAACCAACCCACCTCTCTCCAAACCTCCGTTTTTCTTTTCTTTTTTCCCCTGAGTTTACAGTGTTTCTTCCACTTCTGTGCTGCTGTCTCTTTTCCAAACATCTCTCCTACTTTTTGTATTAATTAAACCGGTCTGTTTATCTTTTTTTTTCTCCTCTCTTTGAACGCCATTTTTCTTCTTCTTTTTTCTTCGTAGAAGGGTAAAATAAGATTTTTAAAATTTTAAATGATTTTACATATGCCTTTTCATTGATGAAGGGTATATTTAAGTCATGTGGGATTAACTCACAAAGTATATTTAAGGCTCTGTTTGATGCGTTTTTTCGTGTGGTCTTTCGGCTGTTTACAAGTTAAGAAGACCGAAAATCAGTCTATTCCCGTTTGGCACACAAAAATCTCGCTACCAAAAGACGGGGCACCGAAAAGATGTGGGAAGCCCATTTTGGGCTGATTTCGGGAAGCTCCAAATGAAGCTTCCCACGTCTTCTGTGTTTTAATCTCATGCAAAAAGACCCAAAACGATGCATGGAAAGATGCACGTTTGCCAAATGGTCTTCGGACTGCCCAGATCTTATGTCAAACAATGTGTCTATTGACTGTCAAAGTTACGAGAATATCTTCTAAAAAATACATGCCAAACAGGCCCTAAATCTTTTTAAAAAGCGTAAGATAGGTTTAAGTCAATTTATGAAAACATAAGATATATTTAAGTCTTTTACCCTATATATATATATATATATATATATATATATACACAATATTTATTAGGATGGGCTCGAGTTAGGAGTTAGGTAGGTCTGGCCGGTTAACTGTTCGAACGGTTTTGACCATTTTTCATTTTTTTATTTTTTTTTTGTCAAACAGGTTGGCCGTTCAGGTCAAATGATCGGACCATTCGAACTAGTAACCGAAGCCCTAATCAATTCGATCACCGGTTCGATTTTAAAAACCATGCCAATCATACTACAATGTAATGTAAGGTTGATGTGAGGCGCAGACCAAATCCCATTACAACATAAAACATGTTGGAACAGTGTTGAGAGTCTTTTTTCGGAGGAAATCCCGACTCATGAATGACATGTATACGAGGGATGGATGCTCCCGATGTTGGAACTCGTGAATGACAACAAGTAGGAGGGATGTTCCCGATGCACCGACTACTAGACCAATTCACAGGCCAGGCATCGGGCTTGGCCATGAACATTTTACACTGCTTCGTGCATGAGTTTTAGGCGAACTGGCATCGGGCTTGTTCATAGGAATCTTATCCACAGTTGGACATTACAACTGTACATTGGGAATATCTTTCGTATTTACATGTTCTATAGTAATGTGGGATAAGGGTGAAAGGATGATTACTCGATTTTAATGTTGCAGAAAGGGGTGATAGATATACTGAACTAGCAAAAAGTATCCATCGCTGGTCCAACCTACAGTTAATTATTCACTAGTCAGCTAAAAGCTTCAGCAATGCATTACTCCAAAATTATCCTCTCTCGCCCTGGGATGGGTGAGTTTTACTCTTGCCTCTAATGTGAGTTTCTAACTCTTCCCTTCCCTTTCTTGTTCTCTCCCTACTCCGTATTTTGAATTTTGAAAGCTTTCCCGATTTTCCAGGCTTTGTTTCTTGTTTGGTGAGTGCTGCATCAATTGTGGAGGAGATTCCCATCTTGGTATGAGGCTTCTACACAGCCATGAATGATTGCCTTTTTTTGTGTGTACATACTAGGTTGCAGAATTGTCCTAACTTTTCGTCCATGGCAAGTAACTAAGTACAGCTCTGTTTATTGCAGGAGATTGGCCACCGAAAATACCAATGATCAATGTTGATGTTAATTCTTTAGATGGATACCTAAGTGGATTTTCTTTGGAATTTTATTTTGGACATAGCTCTTGGATTGTACGAGTAATGAATATGGAGGTTACCGCTAGAGGCACTACTTATGGCACCTAGGTGTTTATGGATGATACGGTTTCAGTGATTGTCTGTAGGCTTATGGTAAGCTGTGAAGGTGTAGTTTTGGTTGGCAGATTCCTTGGAGATGGCATTTGTTTCTTTACACTGGTGATAGATGATATGGGAGAAGTTGAGAATGATGTCAGGGACACTGGAGATGCTCTCTCTTCGATTTCTACGGGAATATTATGATTAGCAGGATAGGTGCCTATTTTCACATCCTCCTCCTTTTAAAACAATGACAAGCTGATTGCAATTGGTGCTACAGGCATCAAGACTGTTAATGCAAAGGACAAAGCAGAATTTTCTCAACGGAAAGATAACTATTATGTTGAACCATTGAATAAACTTACTATTGGAAATTCCTTTGGGCCCACTAATCACGCTGACACAGCAGCAAAAACATAAGGCTAAGGAGTGGGACGTTGGCCATTCCAACCATTCTGTTTATGTAGGCCGTATTATAAAAAAAAAAAGGGCCTGCTCCCTGTTCTTATCTCTTCAAGCTTTCCTATGAATTCCGAAGATGGGTCATTCTCTAATCTTGGCCTTTTCTCTACAGCGGACGTGGATGTGGGCCCAAGTCCACTCAATTGAAGTTCTTGTTTTTTTTTTCGAGGGTCTTTAGTGTGCTTAGGTCTTTTTATTTTTGTTTTTGTTGGTAGGTATCTAAGTTTCTGGGCTGGGCTGTCTTCATTGTTTGGGAGTTTCCAAGGGCTTTGTGGTCTTTATTGAAGGTTTAGGACCTTCATTCGCTGGCGGTTTTCTCTTTGAAGCTGATTGCAAAGACCTTGCTTGACAACATTCCTGGTGCTCAGCTTACCTAGGTTGTTGCTTCGTTCTTGGTGGTGGTGTCTAGTTGGTTCTGGTACAGTCAGTGTTGTTGATTTTGAGTTTTGGGTTCTTTAAGCTTTGTTTTTATTTCTTGTAATAGTTGACACAAACCAAGCAACCAACGCTTCTCTAATATGCAGTAACTGATGGAGGGAGATTTGGCCCGACCCCTTGGCCACGCGACACGTGGAAGCAATCGAGAGTGACCTGGCAGAAGCGCCAGCTCGACACGGCAGCGGGCCCACAACCTCCCTCAAAAAGGACCCACGACCCGAGCTCCCCAAGGAAGAATCCGAGCTGACCCACCCCGAGGCAGTTCGGGCCACACTTCTATCTGAACTCAAGATTTCACCTCGCACACCACTTCGGCTCCAAGTCGCCTGACTGAACAATCGTACCTGACGCCCAGGAAGCCCGTACACGGAGGTGGCACGCCTGACTGATTAGGGGTCCGACACATGACAGCCGCCCTCCAACGGCCACCTGCCACCACCATCTTAGACGTGGCAGAGACGGCCCTGACAAGGACAGTGGCGATTATGACACCCGAACTAGCAACTAGCAGAGGTTATGACACCCGAACTAGCAACTGACAGAGGTTATGACACCCGAACTGGCGACTGGCTGGGATGATGACACCCGATCTGGCGGAGGTGATGATGCCCGATCTGGCAGAGGTATGGGAGTGAGTGTATAGGGTGATTAGAAAAGGCCCCCATCTCCCAAAGAAGGAGGTATGTGATATTTTGTGTTTTCTGGTCTTGAAGTCTCTCATTTTCCCTTGCCTTCTCTAGAGCACTAACTTGAGCTTCGGAGTGTTCCGATCGGGTTCCTCCCCAGAAGTCTCCAATTTCTTCTTTGTTTCAGGCATCTTCAGCTCTGTCAAAGGCGAGGTGACCGACAACTAGGACCGACCGGATTGCACATCATCAATAACCAATCATGATTAAGCAAATTTTAATTGTCTTAGAGCTGGGGGAAGGCGAGTATCGGGACGTAGAGTGAGCTCTTGCCATTTTAGAGACAAAATGTAAACTATGAGATTCTGGTTTAAATAGAGAAATCCTAGCTTAATCAAACCGTCCAAACTTGTTTTATAGCAATCGAGGCATTAAACTTGTGGTAATATTGGACTAATAATATTGAAGTTCAAGTTCAAAATTCCAAATAGATATAACGATCTTATTTTACCAATAACCATATTGTTCTTATATTTGAAATTGCAATTAACCCACTTATTAGAAATTTAAATGGTTGGAATTGTAAATTAACACAAAACATGGTCAAAACAGATTTTCTAGGTCTTCAGTGCTGGTGCCATCTAAGGTTCAAAGTATAAAAACCCTAAAGCATATCGGAAAGGCAATTTTAAGAGATATATTGGCCCTCCCATCCCATAATATGAGTCGACTTGGACTTGATCATCTCTATTTTGGAGCTACAATCATGTTGTGCATACTGCATAATTAAATGACCTACATTACAAGAGGCAGAAAAATCTCTGATCTCAATGAAAAGGACTAATAAAAGTACAAGCCAGAGAAAACTGTAGAAGTAGGGAAATGAAGGTACGAGCCACAAGTACTAACAATTGAAATACAAGGCATCGACCATGAACCAAAAGCATTCAATTTATCATTTAAATTTAGAAACCAAGGCTTATTTCATTCATGATCAGAACTTACGTCTAAGCAGAAAAATCTGTACTCAATGAAAAAGGACTAGTAAAAGTACAAGCCAGAGAAAACTGTAGAAGTAGGGAAATGAAGGTACGAGCCACCAGTACTACCAATTGAAATATAATGCATCAACCATGAACCAAAAACATTCAATTTATCATTTAAATTTAGGAACCAAGGCTTATTTCATTCATGATCAGAACTTACGTCTAAGCAGCATTGCTTATGTTTTTGGCTTTCCAATAAGCGCTGATGATTAGAATATCAGACATTTTCTGATCATAACAAGCTTAAAACTGTCAGAATGAGTATCTCGTACCTCTTGATCAGGATGACTGTGCTCATGACTGTATCTCTATTTACATGCGAGTTACTACTATTGTGATGTATCAAGATCTTCGGGATAGATGTGCTGGTCATTTGAGAAACAGAAATATGATGAGAGTGGCTAGATGTATTGGTCATTTGAGAAACAGATATGATGCTAATCCATGATCATGAAATAGGAAATCAGCGTAGACTACATCAATTAGGTCCATATACAAACACTTCCATTCTTATCAGCAGATGCTAGGGGCTTTCCAAGCTCACTCCATGAACAAGATAGCACGGGAGCAGTGTGTTCCCTCAGAGTACACACTATATCTGTTCTAAATCTTGACCAAATGCTAATAGACCCATCAGCAGAACCTGCTGCAACATAATTGTCATCTGTACTGATGCAGGAACGGCTCCAATTGGATGCCACTCTGTTTCCATTTGCTCTTAATGTACCACAGACTTCCAGAGACCTCGTGTCAAATAGATTATGCAAATTGTCCCTCCCACCAGTCAACACAATATTTCCACTTTGGGATAGACAGATTGATGTGATAGCATGTGAATGTGCAGCAACTTCACTAAGAAGCTTCCCTGTCTGAAGATCCCATATGCGAAGGTTTCCATCAATATGACCTGAGCAAATAGTCTTTCCATCCATCCTAAAACAAAGAGCATTGCAGTTGCTGTGGAAGGTAATTGTATTGACACAATAGCCTTTCTGTATATCCCAGGCTTTTATAGTTAGATCATAAGCTGCACTAACTGCATGACGGCTTGAAACTTTGCTCACATCTACAGCACATACTTTATCTACGTGGCCGGTGAGAGTATGACGGACCTGACCAGATGCCACATCCCACATGTACAAGTTGTTTGAACTGCTAGCTGCAATAATAGATCTGTTATCATGGGTAACTGCGAGATCAAGAACAGAACCAAGGCATCCATAAAGAGTGTGGCTTAATATCCCAGTTTTTGTATCCCATATTTTTACTGTGTGGTCCTGGCCCCCAGTAATCAATTTATCAGAGTTGTGCTCAAACAATATAGAACCACAGCCACCTTCATGTGCATTAAGTTTGTTTTTACATGCAGTGGGAACGGTTGATTCCACAAAATTCTCAGCACCTGCTTCAAATCGGCGAACCACACCACCAACTTGCTGCCATGCAAGTTGTTCTATGCCGCTGGCCTTGAGTTGATTCATCATGTCTTCATATATGGCATTTGCCTACATGTGTTTCAATAAGTAATAAATACAGGTTTTCAGAAGTTTCTTTTAGGATAAATAGGTTATGAAATCAATATTAAGATATAAACAGAAATAACTCAAAAAGCACAAGGTAGGCCAATAAAGATAAAGTTCTTCCAAGGAAAACCGAGTTAAAAGAAGAATAGAATAATGCATCTCTTCTGACATGGATTTCATGAATTCTATCATTTCAGTACTATCATGATGACATCATATTTTTCCAGATTGATGGAAAAAAATATGATTTTCCTCAAACCAATTGTCATTTTTGATAATGCGGCTATTGTTATTCATTCATAAACTCCTTTTTGAATTTGAATGGCAGTCAAGCTCTTACATACTTTGAAAAGTAGAATAGTAGTAAAATAATCAAATCTTCTCATGAAACATATAAGGTTGGAAATAATTCACAGACCATGATTTTACTGATAACCTTATAATGATGGTCCTCACTCCTAAGTGATGTTGCAGGAAATTACTCAACAGTTGACAAAACACATGACCATGCACGTGTAAACATCAAATTGGCAGGAAAAAATCCCACTTGAAAATTTATACTTAGTTTGGATATTCAACACAAATTTCATATATAGCTCAGCAGCAACTACACAAATTTCCTAACCACAAAGCTAGAAAGCCTAGAATATATGTGCATTGATCAAAAAAATATATGTATATCATGTGAAACCATGCCAACAATTTGATAATCTTAAAGAAAATAATTCACTTGTAGTAATTCTTAAGTTGGAAAGAAAAAGGAAACAATAATGACCAAGCCAGCTTCATGATTAAGAGAATGAATGATCAAGTATACATGGGACCTTTGTAATGTATTAACACCTGGAACTGCTGAAAGAAATCCTTGCACAAAATACCAATAAAAATAGATATAAAAGAACAATTAAATGCACCACAAACTGTTGAACTGAGGTTTCTGTCATTTTTATAACCATAATTAGATGTTTCCCAATTCTAGTAATGTGAGATAGAACAAGAGAATCAAAAAAATACTAAGTGATCTGGAAGCTATTATAAGATTCCAACTGTTGATAAAAACATGTAATACCTCATTGAGCCGTTCAGCATCCTGCATTTTTTGCAGCATCCAGCGATCAATTAACATCTTGTTTTCAGCCTCTGCTTTTTTAGCTTTTAGGGTCATCTCCTCCAGTTGTGTTCTAGCCTGGTTTTCACTTAAAGCCAAGTTTAGAGCTTTTGTCTTTTCTTCCAGTATATCCTTTAATCGGGAGCACTCATCCCTGCACCATTGCTAAGTTCCAATTATTGAACACCATCTTAAAATCCAAGAAGTTTTTTCTGCGTTTTGCTATAAATTTAAGAACCAGTACAACCTTGTTTGAGTAATCCCACTTTGCAGATCGGTGATCAATGCTTCTTTCTGTTGAACCAGTGCTTTTAAGGTTCTGCATTCTGCCACTTCCACAACGAGTTGCTCAGATAGTCGTGCTTGAGCTTTATAACATTGCTGAAGTTCCAGTTCCAGGTTTTCAGCTTTCTCTTTCCATTCTGATCCCTAGAAGAGTACATATAAAATTAACTAAATCAGAAAAATAAAAAAAAGAATATAATAGAAATTAAAACCAGAAAGAAGGATTATCCGTGTAAACCAATAGGAAGTGCAGCCAAATATATTTTCCTAATGTACCCTTAACAAGAAGTTTGAAATATCTTTAGTGATTAGCAGGCTTTATACAATTAGCTTGCTGCATACAGTAGCATCTTTTCACTCGATACATGGACACGAATCTCGGATTACAACGTAAGCGAAGTCTTACACCTCAATATTCGAACCCTTATAAATAAAACCACTAATCTAAATTCGAAAGACACAAAAGGAAAGAAGGGAAGAAGAAATAGTGTTAAACGGAGTAAAAAGAAAACCTGAGAAACAAAAGGCTTTGAAAGAGCGATGATAGCCGGAGCATGGGCACCTTCTTCGAGCAAATGCCTCTTCCGAAGAGCCTTCACAGCGTGCTTTATAGCTTCCATAGAGATTTGATCTGGAGACCTGAATGTGAACCAAAAGGGAACTCTCTATAATTCCTCGTTTTATCCCTTTATCGGGATCAATAAGAAACCAGAAGCTGGAATGAAAAGTATCAAATGATCCACTCAAACAGTTGTATATTAATTTTCAGAAATCAATTCTTACATGTTGACCGAGTTTGGGTCTCTTCCTTCAATATATCCGATGGTTTCAGAGTAAAATCAGTTAGCAGCTGTGTCAAATTGTCAACGTCTGAGACGGGATGGAACTTGAAGAAAAACGAATTGGCATTTGGCAAGGAGAAACCTGAGAGCACATTGTACTCAACTCAAACAGATGCATTGACGAAAATGCCCACTCAAGCGTCAAGCTTCCTTGGGCATTTTCACTTTTTCAAGAAACCCTGATTCATGGGTTTATTTAATGGCCCTTGAAGAATAGAAAATTGACATTATTAGCCTTTCTTTGAATACCAGTGTTCAGTAGTTCCTGGCTGAGAATAAAGGATTACGGTACCCAACTCTCGTATCCTTGAGTTTACCCCTCCAAGCTCCACCTCCAACACATGGATTTTGATATGGTGAGTTTAGATCGTAGCTCACGTAACTAACGATTTGCATCTACCAGATGTTTTGCGGTAATTTGTCAATTTGACCGAATTTTTTTTTTGCTGTATTCTTTTTATTGGACTCTGATTTGGTTTGTCATATTTGTGAAGTGAAAATCTTTACCTTGTTAATGGCATTGGCATCTGTTTCTGTTGCAACTCCAATGGAAGCGAGAAGAATGCAACAACAGCTGAATTAAGGAACGCTGCAGAGTGCAGACGGTAGGGTAGCCCTTCCTTACCAATGCCCACGATTTAACAAGGAATGGACTTTTTCCACCCTTGCACATTTTCTATAAACAGGCGACGTGTTCTTCACAGTTGCATCAAGGATGGAGATGGATATGAAACCTAATGCCAGAGGGATAACAATTGATCGTGCCATAAAAAGAATCCAGTGATCTTGCTGCACAAAACCACCTATCTCACTGATTATCAACCATACAAAACTCACACTCCATATCAGTGATACAGGTACACAGGTCTAGTCTGTCTGCGATTGCACATGGTAGATGGGATCCCCTATCACTCCCTCCCTAAAAAAGCAAGTAATTCCCCCCTTACAGTTGAATCTGTGCAAAAGGACTAGAAGGCTAGCTTTGGCACTGATGCCTGTTGTGAAGGGGAAAAGGGCATTACTGTGGCTGGTGTAGCATCCTAAACATGATACAGTTATCCTCATGAAAACACTTCTCAGATTAGAATAGCAGTGCTAAGGAGTATGTTTTCCTTTCAGTCAAGAAAACCAAGAGCCAAAGGAAATTGAACCCCATAATAACAGAAAAGCCTTCCTCATTTCATGCCATAGTTATTATGGAACTTCCACAAACAAAGCTACACAGCGGGAAACCATAAATAAAAATGCCCAAATAATTTTTCCACAACACCAAATTCATGCATCGATTTTACATTGGTTCAACAATATTTACCCAGCCCTTATTCTATCCAAACGGTCAACGCTCTTCCGTGCTCTCTCCAGCTGGTGGTCAACGCTCTTACGAGACTTCTCATGGCAGTCTACACTTCTACGAGACCTCTCGATTTGATCGAACGAGATTCTTAACTTTTCTAACTTGTCAACATTATTAGACTTGTAGTCATGGCTTTTCAGTTTCTCATGCCTGTCGGTGCTCTGCCTTGGTTTCTCCCTCCTGTCAGTGCTCTTCCTTGAAGCCTCAAAGCAATCAGTACTTCGTCTGGATTGTTCAAACCTGTCAGTGCTCCTCCTCGAACTGTTCCTCTGAGACGGTGCTTTCTCAACTGTGGATATAAACTTTTTGAGATGCCTAATATACTCTGGATAGAGCTCCAGGTCACAGTGGTTCCCTCCTTTAAGCCATAGTGGCTCATACTTCTCCTTACAGAGTTCCCATAATTGCTTGCCATGAGAACAGTCGACCACTTCATCAGAGGTACCCTGCATAATTATGTACATAGGTTTTATAATTGCTTTAAATCCTTCAGCAGAAAGAATGCATAATTATTTTCACTTCATAGAAATAAGGAGAAGCCCCCGTGCCTAGAAACTGAAATAAATAAATATCATACCAAAATAAGCAAAGAAGCTAAATGAAGAAAAGCTTCCTAAGCAAAACCAAAGGATTCCCATAAGATACTGAAACTTTGTGAGCATATTACCACATTATAGGTGTATTCTTATTCAAGGGCTATCTGATAAAGGAAATAATCATATAGAATTGGTTAGAAAACAATATCAATTGAAAAAGTAACATGGGTGTGTTAAAAAAGAATGATTTAGAACTTGAGTTTTTTCTCAGATTTGGAAATTAATATACAGACAAAAAATATGAGTAGAACAATTTAACTTATAATCTCATGCATAGAACATTTCATAAATTTTACACAAAGAGATTGTAAATTTGAAAGTTCATGGCCTTAGAGAACAAAAAACCTAATTTTTCTTGACACAACTATTTTCTTCTACTCGGTGGTTTAAAAATAGAAAATGGGAAGTTTCTTTTTAATCAGAAATGTGAGAAAATATAAAACATAAAGGATGTTCCTGGGAAATAATTTTCATCTCTGTGACCACTGAATATGCATGATGACAACTGGTCATTTTGTTCAGTGTATCAAATAAGAGAAGATTGGATCAGATGCAGTTCTTAGCACCAATAGTTACAAAAAGGGCAGCAATACAAACCTGTCCATTTATCTTTCTTTTGGATATGGAACTTGTCAAAACAAAAGAATACAAGAAACAAAAACAAAAAGACAAACAGAGAAGTTACACAGATCACTGTGAAAACATGGCTGACTTGTGTAAGAATGTTTTAAAAGGCGTGGGAGGCATATGCCTGGAGGTGCACCTCCAAAGCGTCCTGAGGTGCATGCTATAGGCATTGAGCTGTTGATGCCTCTGAGGTATATGCCTCATGTGCCTTTTACATGAGGTGTACTAGAGGTGTATGCCTCATGCACGTCATACATGCCTCAAATGAAAAGAAAGAAAGAAAGAAAAGGAAAAGGAAAAGAAAAGAAAGGAAAGGGAAGGGAAGGGAAGGGAAGGGAAGGGAAGGGAAGGGAAGGGAAGGGAAAGAATGAGAAGGGCAAAAAGAAAAGAAAGGGAAAGGGAAGAAAAGGGAAAGAAACTTTGGACCGGGGACAAACCTTCCCTTTCAGCTAGTGTCATGCATCCTCATTCTTCTTAACATAAAACCTTTTTCAAAAAAAAAAGAAACAAAAAAAAAGATCCCCTTCCTCTTCTTATTCACCCTCTCTTTAGGAGGCTTACCCCTCTTTAGGAGGTTTGCCCATTACTGTGGCTAAAGTAACAGCAAAAGGTGTTACAATATATAAATGCACAAGTAGTTTGAAGGAAAATAGAATATTTGCAATACCAAAGCCACAACAGTTTTAATTCCTCATGGAGTGTCTTTGAATGTTGTCAATGAAACAGTTTTTGAGGTGCAATGGAATAATCAAATAAGTGAACAACTGTGAGTGCAACCCCAAACGCCCCAAAGCAGTGTTTTAAACACCACACTGCATTGAGAAACAATGCATAGCTTAAAAATCTAAACATAAAAGCATAGTACCAGCATATTAAATGGGATCATTGTATCCATATAGAACTACTTCATGCTAGTTCAAGCAAGCTTCATATTACATGAAAAAGGGCATTTTTGTATTGATTGATGATCATTACAATTATCAAGTTAAAGGACAGATAAGGACTTACATGAATGATCAGTACTGGACAGTTAACCAGCGGAATTTTGTCAATGTTCTGCAGAGGACCATTACAAACAATGTTCAAACATGGGATGCTAGATATTTAGTAGCAGTCAATATCATATGTCGTGGAGAAGAAAAATGTAACCTTATAGATGTCAAACCAATATGTGCGCTTCACAGGGTACATCACTCTTAAACCTGAGAGTATAGGACTATGAAGAACCACAGCTCTTAACCGAGGCAAACGAGCTGCTAGATCCAATGTTGGGCCACTTCCAACAGATTGGCCATAAAGGATGATATCTTCTTGCTTAGCACCGTAACTCTCTTCAAGGCATTTGTAGGCAGCTTCTATATCTGCATAAGTATTCTGCTCACTTGGCTACAAAGAATGAAATATATGAACTTGAGAGGTTGTTTTCAGATAATGTTATTTTTCATCAAATATTTCACATAATGAGGTATCTTTTTTTTTTTCATTTGTCATTTTTCTTCCAACAAGGGAACAGTAGAATTTTATCAAGGAAAATTAAGTACAGAACTAACCTTTCCAGATGACTGCCCATACCCAGAATAGTCATACCTGCATAAAAATAGAAATGTATGAGCAAATTTCTATTTTTATGCATGAACAGAATGGCAAAACAGGGCTCATATAGCTGACCCTATATGGGTTGGGGTAAGGCTTAGATGATAATGATGAACAAATTTCTCACTTTCTTATGGTTGAACACCTAATGAAGGATCCCTCCCATGAGGAAGTGCCTTAGTTATTGTATTGGTGTAAGATGGGAACCATGCCAATTATGGTTGTTAAATGTCTAGAAATCTGATGTTGAAGAACAGATACTAATGTGTTGGGTACCTCAATGAATACAAAATCTACATTTTATAAGCATGTAGAATCTCAAGAGCATACAGACTGATTTCCTTTTTTTTTTTTTATGAGAAATCATACCGACTGATTTCCTTGTAAACAGATCAAGATAAAAACCTCAGTGATGTCCAAACCAGTTACATTTCCATCTTCCAGGTCTCTTTGATAAGATCCTCATTTTTCCCAACAAAGCATAAACCCAATAAATGAATAGATAATTAACTGGGAGAAGGAATCTTATCTTGTACATGCTTAGCATACCCAATGTTAGAACAATACATATCTAATAGAAAAATCTTCAATGTTTGACACTTTTATTTATCAAACAAAAAACATATCTAATATGACAATGAATGCTACATGAACACTTTTTAGAACAGACCTTATAGCATGGATATTTCTAAAATACATAAATGGTGTATTTCAACAAACCATTATATAAAAAGGGTATAATGACCAAAAAACAATACAAAGGGGCACTATTGTCACTTCTCTTTTTGTTTCAGCTGATCCTCTATAGATAATTAGGGCAATGTTTGGTTTGCTGCTCTAGGGCTCATTCTTTTAATTCTTGTTCATCTTGAGCAAGAATGGGCAAGAATAAATAACATTAGAACGTTTGGTTACAACCTGCAGCATGATTATTTTTTAGAATGAAAAATCAGCTTATAGCGCAAAAAATGTGGCAACCTGCAGCATGAAAAATAATCATGCCCCATGTTGCTCATTTTCATTCTTTAAAGAAACTCTATGCTGGCAGGTGTAAGCCATTGGCTTTGGTCTACAAAATTGTCGCTATAGATGTTTACTGGTGGACTACCATGGAAATTTACACCAACAGACAGTGACCATTCGCCAATTGCTAGTAAACATCCATGCCAACAGTTTTGGAGACCTGAGCTGCAAAGTTGTCAAGGTGACACCTAGGCAACAAGGTGCCCTTTGAGGCTCGCCTCGCCTAATCGCCAAGCAGTTTTTTACTTCCTACTATAAAATACGTTTTTGTTCATTCTTTTTTGAGATTATAATTATAAAATAAACATTATTAAACTAAAATAATCATTTTATGTGTTTATATACTAATTTCATTTTATTATTTTCTTATTTATTAGGGTTTAATCAACACAAACATTGCTAAATGCTGTATTGAACCCTCAAAGACTTCAAAACCTGAACCAATAAGGAAGAACTTAAAGTTTTATCCAGTCAGCACATTTTATTCTTCCATATATTCTTCTTCTTCTTCTTCTTCTTCTACCATTACTTCTTCTTTTCTTCTTTTCCTATAACAAAAATAAGGTTTCATCCCCTATATTTTTTGAATTTTATTTTCCTTCTTTTTCTTCTCATGAATATGTTGATTTTCTATATTTTAATATGAACTTCATACTTTTCTTATGAAAATTATGAATAATTATTAAGGAAATATGGTTATGTACCTAAGGAACTACCCTAGGATCTATGTTTTCAACATAAAAAAATCCATCGCCTAGGCGACTAGCCTCGCCTTGGCGCCTTGAAAACTATGCTAAGCCAGCAGTATATGATCACCAGCACAGAAGTTTTTTGAAGAATGAAAATTAGCAACAAAGAGCACTTGTCAATCTGAAAAAAAAAAAAGAAAGATATTTTTTAGGAAAAAAAGTGTTTCATTTGTAGCAATATTTTCTCATTCTACCCATTCTTGTTCATTTTAGAATTTCATCTTGGGCAAGAATGAGAAAGAATGAGAGCTAAACCAAACATGGCCTAGATCTCCAATGGACTAAAATACTTCAATCACATACACTTTAGGTATTCTTTTAATTTCTAAAGTACCTTTACTTCTCAGCATGGCTCTTCATCCCCTCCATTAAACGCAGCTTTAAAGGATTTACTAGTTTGCACCAGTATTTTCAGGGCATTACCTTAAAGGCTCAACAACAACCAAGCAACCACTAACTAAGGCATTTTGGCATTCAATGTCCAATCACCGACGCGACCAACTAGGCAGGTATTATAGATATAAACATTAGCGAGGGCAAATATGTGAATATGCCCCTTTTATGTATTGATATGAAATGTGTACATCCCATTTTAGGTCATTATGAGGGTACACAGAGCTAAAATCAGGGGTCCTTAGTCCATGTTACATGTGCACTTAACTAGATTATTCAAAAATCTTGTCATTTCTTTTAAAAATCAGATTTAAGTTGTCATTAAGTCATTTTTAACTTTTAGGTCCATATCCAGTCCATCTCCATATTGGGTAATGACCCTTTTAGTTCAGTAGTTTACAGTTAACTATATAACTACAACTGTATACACTGAACAAAAAGGGTCAGACATATACATTTGAAATTATTTATTTATTTATTTCTTGTCACCCAAGCAAACTTTACTATATAGATGGTTGACTAAATAAAAGAGAAGATTAAAGGCAATTGCAGTACAGGTTTACTTAGTAAATAAGACAAAACCTTTTCCTCATTCTATTGATTCTTCATTCATCAGTCAGCATATAACCTTCCATTAACCATCATTATAGTAATTATCAAACCCATTTAAGTTCTAAGTTCCAACACCATCTAGCAACAATACTGTAGGGAGCGAAAGCTTCAACTTCAGGAAATATCACCAACAATTTATGATGGTCCACCTACTCCCCCACCTTAGGTTATGCAATTATTGCTTTGTCCCAGAGAGAGAGAGAGAGACAAGGCCCTTCTCATCATGTTTAAGTGATGAGATGGAAGAGTTGTGCTCAGATTTAAAGAGGCTAATTTATATACTTAGAAAAAAAAGACTTGCAAGGAGCATAAGATGGGCTATCTTAGTCAACCAGATGGATATGTAATAACAACAAGAGAATTAACCTTAGCAAAAAGAGGAGAAGAAATGGCTAGTAGTACATGTCCGGCTGCCTGATTTGAGGAATTTAAACTATAGGGTTCAGGCTCATTCAAAATTTAACAAATTCTCAACCCAAGTTACACTCCTACAAAAGCCTCTTCTTATTAAAAAAAATGGAAGTATTAAAAGTTAAATCCAAACTTGGAAATATATGATTATTGAACAATGATAAATAGAAAATAAATAGTATGGCATTGACATATATTAAATACTAAATTAGATACTTAAAGTCCATATGCATGTCCTAGATCTCAAGAAGAAGAAATGAAGTGACATATCCCTGATTCCTTGCAGTTCAGGGCCCTCATAACTTTAAATTGCAGATATTCAGAAAAACAGAACCAGTTATGAATGGTTCCAGCCCAAGAGAGCCTACACCAAAAATTATTATGATCAAATATCTCTAAACCATCTCATTCATGCGTCATTTTTAAAGCTGTCAAGGAGTTTAAGTAGAACTTCTGCACCACCAAAATATTTGCTTCAAAAGAACACATCTTTGGTAACATAGTATAGGATAGATTATTTATGAAAAAAAAATATAGAATAAGATAGATGGCAAGTTAACAGACCAATTATGGTTTCTGTATTTCCCAAACCTAACCTTTGCTAAATCAAAATTCATCTTCTAGTTTGAAGCGTTGGGGTTAACACACATTCTTAGTCTGGGGGGTTTAGATTTAATAGGAACACCATACAACATATTAGTTCAATTCACCTAGAATTCAGGGCCCTTTCTATTTAACATCATGGCCAATAAATCTCAGATACCCAAACGGTCACTTATTTTTGAGAAAAAAAAATACGCATTCCTTTGACCAGTAAAATCCATCAGAAAAATACGCATTCCCTTCCGGTTTGCAGCATATGTCGGAAGATCCCAATAGAGGCATCCATTTATTTATACTCTGTGTTTGAATGAAAGGGAAATTTGCCTACAAAACTCAAATTGGGTATAGCTCAATTGACCCGAATTTAACTAAAATGCACTCGCTCCAACAAATGCATTGCTTGAAAGATCAAACCTCATATAACCGAACAACCAAAGGAAACAACAAAAAATTAAAAATAAAAAGTCGAGAGACGAAAGAAGGAAATGTAGTAGAGAACTGTACCCCATGAGATTAACTCGCAAATGGATGCTCAATTCGATGAAAAGCTCATACATCTGGCCGAGATCAGCGGCGTTGCCGTGAGAGTAGAGAAGAGTAGAGGTGGCCATAGGGTGTCGAACGTAGATGGCCATAATCTCGGTTCCGCGGCGAGTGGGCAATTTGAGGACGTCGACGTTCTCACGGTGAGGGAAAGGATGGAGGATCAAGAGACCAGTAATTTCGTCTGTGATTACCTTGTAAGAAGGAGGATTGGGTGGAAAGAAGGCGAACTTGGCCGCCATGGACGAAGTAACTCCACCCATCTCTGTCTCTCTGTCTCTCTGTCTCTCTCTCTGGTTTTTCCCCTCTTACTCTCTTAATTTCTCTCACTAATGGTGAAGAATTCTTTTTTTTTCCCCTGAATCAGAAGCCGATCAACATTCCTTCCTTTCCTCGTCCAGACGATTAAAAAAAGGGGAACGAAGAGATCTTGTTTATTTTTTTTGGTCGCGGTCCCTCCTCCCTTGTAGTTCACACTTTACTTCTCTGAGCAGAGTGTAGAGAGAGAAAGAGAGCGCTTGTACGTGGAAAGGAGAGAGAAGGCGGCCTTTACTCTTTACTCTTCAGTCTTCACTCTTTCTTTATTGAAGATGAGTGTGGTCTCTTTTTTGCTGGTAACGTTTTTTTTTTTTCTTTTTTCTTTTCTTATGATTTTTATTGCCATTTTCTAGCCAAAGAAAATACGTGGGCGAATTTTGGCGAGGAAAAGACGTCGCTTAGTAATTAGTGGAGAGGAGAGAATAAAAGGCAATTTTAGTGTGAAAAATGTAGCCACTAATCTGGAATCTGGGTTTTTGTAGACCGTAAAGATCGTCTCAAACCTCTGAATAACATCAGCCATTCAGATAGAACATATCAGCTGTTTACCCAAATAAAAATTAAAAAAAAAATGTTGTAACTGGAAAAAAAAGTGCCGTGACCCTGATCCTGATTTTTTTTTTTTTAATTTTGAGTAGGGTTCTCTTCCCCCACCATTAGTGAACTCCGCCGGGCCCCTCCCCCCTCTCACGCCTTTGCCTTTGCCTATCCTAGTATCCTGCTGCTATGGCTGAATTGACTGAACCAAATTGCTTATTTGTTTATATTTTAGTGGATAAAATAGTTCTATTGCGAAATGATCACAATAAAATAATCATCAGAAAATAAGAAGCTACCAAAAGACAATTTGATGAATAATAATTTAACTCAGCCAATTCGGCTGGTATAAAACCCTACATAAGTGGAATACTTATGAAACAACACATGGGGTTTATGAGCATCATCCAACCGTCCATTAAGCATATAATTACCATCCTGAGTGTTAAATATATACATCATGTCATGTATATGGTACTACTAATGGGAACTGTTTGACTTTTATCCGGGAACGTCTTTTAAGTTTTAAGTGTGTGTATGTGTTTTTTGCTTTTAGGGTGAAGCTTCGTGTACTTTCTAAAAATGCGTTGAACCGAACGTACATCAACAAATAGGAAAAGGGAAAAGAAACATGCTGCCATGCTACTCCTCCTACTCTTCAGTCTTCGCTCCTCACCACATGAAAGCAAGCAGAAACAACGTTTTTTTCTCTTTTTTTTTTTTTGTGTGTGTCATTGTGTGTGTGTGGAACCAGTTTACACCACCACGACTCATTGCCGGAGCGTAGTCATTCATGACTCATACTATATTCAGTTGGGTTGGGTCTTTTACTCTTTTTTCGGTTAAGAGAGGGCGTAGGGTTCCAAACAGGGGAAGCCGGTCTAATTAGAGAAATTGAATTGGGTTGTGGGCACCGCACATCTGGATCTGGATTCGTCGATTAGCCAAGTCCAGAGTTACGAGGTCCCCCCATATACGTATATATTATATATTTTTCATAGATAGGCCCGTACGTATTTACGTACGTGGGAAGGATGTTGGTTAAGTCCATGACATTTCCCTCGAGAAAGTGAGTGCCCACATGTTTCATGTTTCATGTTTCCTGTTTCTTGCTTCATGTTTGTTGTCTCCCTTCCCTCCGGCCCCCCACCCTCCGCTCTTTCGTATTCTTTTCCGCTTTCTTTCTTTCTTTCTTTTTTTTCTTTTCTTTTGTTTATTATTTGTCATAACTGTATCTTTTTTAAATAATAAAAAAGTTTCCAAAATTGAATTATTGACTGCATATGCTTAGCTGAGCAGTCTCTCTCCAGCTCAACGCTCAAACAATCCAACACTTGAGAGGATGTTATATAATTAGCCCCGACTGTCCTCCGGTGATCAAGTGGACTCGACCACGGCTCTTGATGCATGGATTGGTTTATGATAGAGAATGATATCCCTTTTATTTATATGTTAGGTGATGAACAATGAGCATAAGACACATCAAACAGATGGCTGATATGGCCTCTGTCGTGTCGTGGGTTCCTCTACCTAGAACTGGGATCACATATATCTTCTCCTTTTTCCACTATACTCTGTTCCTCTCTTCTATATCCGCCCACTCATTCAAACAGACACCTGTTATTAATTCTGTAGGACTTGTTATCCCCGACAACATGAACTGTTACTGTCTTTATTTTTCTCTTTCTACCAACCACATCTCCATTCCTCTTCCCATGCATCCAACCGCCCAAGGTTCAAAGAATTAAAAATACAAATATATAATATTAAGAAAAATTATTTTAGGAGATATATCAAATTATACATAAATATAACAGAAAATTTGAAATATAAATAAAGTGGAAAAACTCAAATAAATCCCAAAAATATATAAATAAGATAGAATTTAAGTTCGCTTTGGCACTTGAGGTGGAAAGAGAAAGGGGGAATAAGAGACATCTGATTTATAAATTCTTAAACAGGGCCCAAAAGTTTTTCTTTTGGGTTTGTTATACAATTAACCGATTTGTGCTACTTGGAGTAATTAAGGCTTTGCCACGTCCCCATACGATTATTTCAATACTCGTGTGCACGTGAGAACCTATTCTACTATAGTCTTCAAGTCCTAAAGGATGCAAGATCATGGGATTACAAGGTTAGGCTGAGTTTACACAGTGTAAATCTATACAAAATACAAGGTTTTACACCCTACGTATTTGTATTTGTATTCCTTCCAAACTCAGCCTTAGGGATAACCATGAGGCAAGGCCATGAAGTTAATCTATGGACCAAGGTTGCAATGCAAACCAAGGAGCAAGATTGTGACGTCGCCGACATGATCGCAAAGTAAGGATGTGACAAAATCGTAGAGTGAGATCGTGATCGAGGTTGCAATGTGACCGTAGAGCAAGGCCAAGAGGAGATCATGAAGCGAGGTTGCGATTTTATTGTCCTTGGGTGCTATTTTGTCTACTACATCAATGGGGTCACATTAGATAAGTACAATGAGTGAGCATCTAATAGTTGTGTAACACATGTCCCAATTAATGTGTCTTTCATCTAAATGTTTTTGTTCTGTTAAACAGAAATTATCCATTATTTTATTATCTTTTTCAAAATAATTAAAAATAAAAACAATATGTGTGATATATACATAGGAAGCTATGTTATATATTCTGAAGTGGCTTCAAAATCAAAAATACCCACATGATTGTTCTTTCAAGCTGCATGAACAACTTGTTATCCAATAGTACGACTCCCATTATCTAGATTGAGAAGTTGTATTGGAATGACATTGCAAGGATAATATTGTTCTTATCCTCTATACATTTTGTTGTAATTAATAATGGGGTAATACCGTAATAGTATATAAGGACAACTTTTGGGGTTTAATATCAATAAAAGTAATATATTTAAAAAAAAAATCAAAAGTAGATTAACTTTTTAAAAATAATATCAATAGAGAGCAAAAACACCATTCATCTTCTTCTTCTTGCCATTTGTTCACCAGAGCCATCGTTCGCCACCCGTCGCCCCCTCCACCTCTAGCAACGTTGCTAGAGGTGGCCAGAGGTAGAGGTGGCGGCGGCGGTGCTGGTGATTTCTCTGTCCAACGCTGCCACCTTCGCCTCCGCCTTTGACAACGTTGTCGGAGGTGGCTAGAGTCAGAGGTGGCAGTGGCAGCACTGGTGGTTTCTCTATCCAACGCCACCACCTCTGCCTCTGCCTTCGACAACGTTGCTAGAGATGGGTGGAGACAGAGGTGGCAACGGTGGCGTTGGTGGTTTCTCTATCCAATGCTACCACCTCCGCCCACCTCCGCCTCCGCCTTTGGCAACATTGCCGGAGGTGGCTAGAGGTAGAGGTGGCGACGGCGACGCTGGTGGAGATGAGTGGAGACAAAGGTGGTGGCGGCGACGGGCAAAGGAATGAAAACCAGTGCCGCCGCCACCAAGGAGGTGGCGGAAGTGGGCGGAGGCAGTGTCGAGCGGTAGTGAATGGCAGCAAACGGTAGCTCTGGTGAACAAAAGACAAGAAGAAGAAGATGAACAGTATTTTTGCCTTTTATTGATATTATTTTTAAAAAGTTAAGCTATTTTTAAAATTGTTTTAAATATATTACTTCTACTGATATTAAACCCCAAAAGTTACCTTTATATGCTAGAACTAACCAATTTGCCTCTTTTGCTTGTAAATAGTGGTGTGATGGAGACAGGATTTTTTTTTTGTGTGTGGGTGGGGGGTGTG